CGCCTGAGCCAGTCCAGCCCTACCCGCCCGTGGTTCGCAGCCCGAGGGTGGGGGCGGGTCAGAGGGGCCGGGAGAACGCTCCGGGGTTGAACCGTGGAGCCGGCCCCTGGAGGCTGGAAAGGTTCCCGCGAGCAGGGCGGGACCGCAGTAGGCGAGGCTTCTTAGGCTCCGGTGAGGAGTCCGCGCTTTCTCTCCAGGGCCCTGGGGAGTCACACAAAGTTTAGAATAGGGGACAGGCAAAGTGAAGTTTGTAAGGTCTGGCGGAGGATGAACGGCAAAGGCTGGAGGGGGCTGAACCCAGGTGGGAGGTTGGATGGGAGCGGGTAGTGGTGGGGCGGATCTGGGGGGAGCCGGGGGGCGGTCCCAGGGCCCCGCCGCGTTTCAGGCTGGACCGGGCAGTGCCCCTCCCGCCCTCGGAGGTCGTTCCCAGGCTGGTGGTGTGATAGGGGCAGGCGCACACCCACCGCCGGCCTGGCGCAGGCCTGCAGCCTGGGGTTCCCCGGCACAGCTCCCGTGGTCGGTGGCGCCCCTTCAACCCAGGGGGTCCGAGCTCCTGACACTCCGCAGCGCACTTACCTCCCACCATTCAATTATTACCCGCCGGAGGACCCTTCCCCCAAATAATGTTATTTTAATTGGGAGCCCCCGGGAATATTGCGTAATCTCTAATACACCGGTTCTCCAACTATTAGGTCTCAGGACCTCTTATTATTAAAAATGATCAAGAACCCCAAAGGGATTTTATTTATGTGGGTCCAATCTGACGGTATTTGCTGCACTAGGGATTTCAATGGAGAAATTAAAAGCATTTATTTATGAACTCTTTAAAAACAGCAATAACAAACATGCTACCTGTGCACACAAATAACATACTATTTCCATAGCTATACTTGTCAGAACCAAACGACTTGAGCAGAGTGGCCTTGTTTCATGTTTTTGTTTGTTTGTTTGTTTTGTTTTGTTTTGTTTTTTTTGCAAATCTCTTTCGTGTCTGACGCAACAGAAGGCGCCAGACCCCCGTACCTGCTTCTGCATCCAGGCAGCTGTGATCCGCTGCCCCTGCAGCCTCTGAAAAAATCTACTGAACACTCGTGAGAGAATGAGATGGAAACAGGCAAAGAATGTCTCAGCGTGACGAAAATGGGCTTGTCCTCCGGGAGACCCGCGTAAGGGCCCCTGAACTGCGGCCCTGAAGCTTCTGAAATGCCACAGGGACCTGCAACTTCCTGGATGCCTCCTCCTTCTTCTAGAAGTTTCTGAGTCCCCAGTTCTCTACTCAGCTTCTGGGACCACGTCTCCACCCACTCTGGCCCATATCTGCTCCACTAGGAGAGAAATGAGGGCGGGCTACCTGTGGGGGACAGAGCAGCCAAAAACAAGAGAGCAGATTGTTGCACCTGTTCTTCATGAATAAATGGGGACTTAAGAGAAGAAAGAAAGCCCTGGCTGGCGTAGTTCAGTGGATTGAGTGCGGGCTGCAAACCAAACTGTCTCAGGTTCGATTCCCAGTCAGGGTACATGCCTGGGTTGCAGGCCATGACCCCCAGCAACCACACACTGATGTTTCTCTCTCTCTCTCTATCTCCCTCCCTTCCCTCTCTAAAAATAAATAAATAGTCTTTTTTTTTTTTTAAAGGCCCTGGCTGGCATAGCTCAGTGGATTGAGCATGGGCTGTGAACCAAAGCATCGCAGGTTCGATTCCCAGCCAGGGCTCGTGCTTGGGTTGCAGGCCATGGCCCCCAGCAACTTCACATTGATGTTTCTCTCTCTCTCTCTCCCCTCCATCCCCTCTAAAAATAAATAAATAAAATCTTAAAAAATTAAAAAAGAGAGAGAGAAGAAAGAAGAGAGGGGGGTGTGACACAGGAAGTATGGTGGGTGCATCAGAATGAAAGCGGGCATAGTCAGTGTCAATGAAAACCACATTTAAAAAGGTGATTTGAGCCCTGGCTGGTGTGGCTCAGTGGATTGAGTGTGGGCCTTCGAACCAAAGTATCGCCGGTTCAATTCCCAGTCAGGGCACATGCCTGGTTGCAGGCCAGGTCCCCAGTAGGGGGCTTGTGAGAGGCCATCACACGTTGGTGTTTCCCTCCCTCTCTCTCTCTCTCTTCCCCTCTCTCTAAAAATGAAGAAATAAAATCTTTCTTTTTAAAGATGCTTTGCCATGGCCAGTGTGGCTCAGTACATTGGAGGGTTCTCCCATGCTCCAAAAGCTGGGGGGATTGATTCCTGTCAGGCTGCATATTTGGGTTGGGGGTTCAATACCCAGTGGGGCAGTGTGTGGGAGGCAGCCAATCAGTGTTTCTCTCTTACATGGATATTTCTCTCTTCTTCTCTCCTTAAAATCAATAAACATAGCCTGAAAAAAAGTTAAAAACTTGCTGTGTTTGCACATAAAGTGGAGTTAGGCTCTGAGCTCAGATTGTCCTAAACTGTTTTTTTTTTTCACAGCTGTGAAGGCCTAGTGGGGTGTCCAAGGGGTGTGGAGGATGCGGAGCAACTCACAGTTCATGATCCTTCCTGGGTGTCCCACAGCCTGGGCCTCCCTCAGCGCCCACTGGGTGCATGGGGTCCCCAGATCACGTTGCAGGCCTCCCCTGGGAGGTCAAACTGCTTCCAACAGGAGCTCCTGAGATGCACTTTGGGGAGAGGGACTTGCCTCTGTACCTGGAGGTGCCGGGTGCTGTCTGGGGCTGTCCCCTCCATAGTCTGCAGCCCACCATGTCACACTGTCCCGTCCGCCAGTGAGAATGAAACCTTAGTCGAGGTAACACTCAGGGAAGGGCACTGCTCAACACCTGCATGCACCACCTCCCGAATCCTCAGCATCTCAGAATAAAGTGGGGACACTGAGGCAGGGGGGACACGTGACTTGCTTGGTTAGTGGCTGCTGGTGAGACCACAGGGCTGCCAGGTAGAAAAAGGCCTGTGCTCTGAACCAACTTTTGTAAAGAGTGCCTCTTGTGTTCCCCAGTTCCCCAAGTGGTTACAAGGAGTCGACCTGTGACCCAGCAATTCCCCTCCCAGGTGTTTCCCATGAGAAACGCAACCACGCGCCCACACAGACACTTGGACGTGAGTGTTGACTGCAGCATTGCCCACAGTCGCCAAAATGTGGAGGCCACGCAAATGTCCACCCCATGCTGACTGGGCAGAGCAAATGCCATGTGTTCACACAGTGGGATACCATTTGGCCATACGAAGGAATGAAGCCGTGACCCAATGTGGATGAGCCTCGAAAACATTGTGTCGAGTGAAAGAAGCCAGACACAGACTCACCACGCAGCGCAGGCTCCCGCCCACAGGAGATCTCCAGAACAGACGAATGCAGTCAGAGCAGAGATCAGTGGTTGCCAGAAGCTGGGGGGAGAGCTGGAGAACGATTGATCGCTAAGGAGTGTGTATGTTTCTTTTCTTTTTTCTTTTTTTTTTTTGAGCAATGGAAATGTTCTAAAATTGATTGTGATGATGGTTGCACAACTCTCGGAATGCACTAACGCCTTCGAGGTGCACACTTCTGGTGGGTGAATTATGTGGTATGTGTCTTCTCCCAGCCCCTTACCCGTGTTCATCCTCCCCAGAAAAATGCCAGCTTCTCTTCCCCTCCCCCGTTATTGGCTTTTCCAGTCTTGCTGGGTTATAAATAACACAATGATAAATACAATAATGCTGAACATGTCTACACCCCCCGCCCCCCCCCAATGAGTTCCTTGGGATAAATTCCCAGTGGTCGCCTGTGGCTGCCAAGCCTTCAGACAAGACAGCTCCAAAGGGACCCATCTTGAAAACCAGAATGTTCAATATCTCATTAATCATTGTTTGACGCCAATGACAAGCACAAAGGATAACGATTTGTCTGTTTGGTGATAAATGACGTCTATTCTTAAATTTTATTTCACCCGTTTCTGTTTGTTTACCGACAGCGGCCCAGGTAAATGTCACATTGCGCCTGCGCCTGGCGTTTGGGGCCCGGGTTACATTTCTGGGGGGCGACGCTGCTCTAGGGAGAAGGTAACATCTGCTTGGGGACCAGGAGGGGGACAGGAGAAGAGAAAAACAGGGAAAATGGGGACGGCGGGAGGGGCTGGTAGAAGGGTGAGCAGACATTCGCTTTGCCCATTGGCCCAGTTGCCATGGTAACCTTGCAATAATCTGTTCCTACATTTCCACCAAAAAAAAAAAAAAGGCTCTAAGTGTTTGCTTATCTATCTACCTATCTATCTGTTTAACACGTGTTTACGTAACGATGAGTTCTCAAAGGACTGACGGGGCACCAGCTGCGAGCCAACCTCTCTTCCAAGTGCTTTCCCGCGTCATCCCCTCCAACCCCCCAAGAGCCCCAGGAGGCAGGGTCAGCGGTTATGGCCATTTTCACAAAGAACACCGAGCTTTCGAGAAGCTCGGGAACTTTCTCAGGGTCTGAGCAGGGGGACGCCGTAGAGACGGAAACCCCCCAGTTGGACTGCAGCGCCGGGTGTCCGTGGGGTGGGAGGGCGCAGGGGCAGAGGAGTGCGCGTTCCCGCGTCCCGGCCGGCGGGCCCAGGCCTGGGACACGCTTTCTTGTGGAATCCGTGTCTGACCTCCCTGATGACCGCGCACCAACACACGCCGTGTACACAACCAGGTTAACCGCACGTGCATCGAGTGGGTCCGCGCCTCACGGGCGAGACCAGTGTACCCCTCCCGAAGCCTCTTTCCACTGAGGGACGACCGTGAACTCTGAACCCGAGAGCCAGTCCCGGCGCCACGGTGCGAGGCCGGAGCCCCCGGGTTTGGGTCTCTATGTCCTCCTCCCCCTGCGGATTCGTCCTATAGGGGCCTCATCACTGAAGATGGTGCCGCCAACGCGCACATCCTCCTTTAGCCGGACCCTTTAAGAGGGGGTCCCCAGAACCCAGCTGCGGACAGCCGTGTTGCCATGGAGACCGGGCCCGGCTCTCGGAGGGGCCAGCCCGTGTGCGCAGGCGCAGGACCGAGCAGCGGAGACGCAGCGGAACTGCTGAGACAGGAGCGGAGGGTGCGCGCCTAGACGCGGCGAGAGCCGGCCCCTGGCAGCTGCCCTGTCTGCGCAGCTCCCGGTGCCACAGCGCCACCCTACCCTGCACCTGCCCGGGCGCTGCGTCACTCAGGCCTGGGACAGAAGGGCGGAGCGGCGGGGCCGGCTGCATCCCTGGGGCCTGACGCGTAAGCCCCCTGCGAATTGTCCGACAGCTCTGGGGAGGGGACCTTGAGAAAGGCCGCTGCGTCAGCCGGCCAGTGGCTGCAGGAGCCCCAGGCCCGCGCCCGCAGCTCGGCCACATTCACCTGAACCTGAACTCCAAGCCCTGCGGCGCTGCTCCCGGGTGGGATTTGCACTGCGCGATCAGCGCCAGCGAGCGGCACCATGGCCTTGAGCCTTTTGCAGGACTGGTGCAGCGGGCTGGACGTGGACGTGCACAGGGCCCTGCTAGTCACCGGCATCCCCGAGGGCCTGGAGCAGGCGGCCATCGAAGCCGTGCTGCGGCCGGCCTTCCTGCCCCTGGGCACGTTCAGGCTTCGGAACACGAGGGCCATGAGGGACGAAAAGGCCAAGGCCGCCCTGGTGGAGTTCTCGGAGGACATCGATCACTCCGCCATCCCCAGGGAGATCCCTGGCAGGGAAGGCTTCTGGAGGGTTCTGTGTAAGGACCGCGCAGAGGACACGAGAGTCCTGAGGCAGATGAAGCGCTTGCTGCTGGACGAGAGGGCCCCTGAGGACACGCCCACCCCTCCCACCTCCGAGACGGAGGCCCAGGGGTCGGAGCTGGCCGGCCCCCCTCCTGGTGCAGCCGGCAGGGCCAGGAGGGGCCGTCGGAGTCGCAGAAGCAGAGCCAGAGGCAACAGGCTGGCCCAGAAGGGCAAGAAGAGAGGCCGAGGAGGGCGGCCGTTCGCCTCCGCCAGGCGTGGGTCGGAGGGCTCCTCCTCCGACAGCCTGGGCATCGTGATCGAGGAGATAGACGAGGAGGACCTGAGCGGGGTGGAGGACCAGAGGGCGCTGTACACCACGCTGCAGACCGCCGCCAGGGAGCTCGTGAAGAAGTGGGCCCTCCAGGGCGACGCCGAGGGCGGAGAGGGTGCCCGCGAGTTCCTGGCTCTGGTGACGGTGACGGACAAAGCCAAGAAGGAGGAGATGGACAAGGAAACCCCAGGGGCTGAGTCCATCAGCCTGAACATCGAAGACCTGAGCGGGGTCCCCGACTTAGTGGCCCTGCTGGCCGTGCGAGACACTTCCGACGAGGAGCCCGCAGACAGCGACGCCTCTGCCAGCGACTGGCAGGAAAGGGAGGACCCAGAGCAAGAAGGGGACAGCCCCGAGTTTGTGGCCATTGTGGCGTACACAGACCCCTCGGACCCCTCCGCCCGGGAGGAGATGCTGAAAATCGCTTCCGTGATCGAGTCGCTGGGCTGGAGCGACAAGAAAGACAAAAAAGATGCGCTTCCCGAGGTCCTGGCTGTCATGTCCAAGGACACTTCCGGAACACGCGTGATGGTGGAGGAGGCGGGACGCCAGGTGGACGCCATGGTCCTCAGGAAGGCCAAGGACGACGGCAACCTTCTGGAATGCATTTCCGCCCTGGCTGAGCCGGAGACCCTCCCCAAGGGGAAGAAGGCTCCCCCGGGCCTTCTGGGCGGCTGGGGCGAGGACGGGGACGACGAGGTGGGCCTCCTGGAGCTGGTGGCGCTCCTGGCCGCCCAGGACATGGCGGAGGTGATGAAGGAGGAGAAGGAAGAGGCCTGGGAAGGTGGGAAGTGCAAATACCACAAGGGCGGCCTGGGGGAGGTCCTGGCGCTCCTGGCGGCGCGGAAGGACCGGGAGTCGGAGGAGCAGTCGGAGGGGGCTTCGGACGGAGGCTCCGAGGAGGCGTCCGAGGACACGGACAGCGAGGAATCGGGGCCTGAGGGCCGCGCGTCCAGGAAGCCCCGGGCCAAGCGAGCCCGCACGGCTTCCAAGGTCCTGGGTCAGGCGGGCGCCCCCTCCGGGTCCCGCAGAACCCGACGGGGAGGCCGAGGCCGCGGCGGGCGGGCCATCACTCCCGAGAAGAAAGCTAAGGATGAGGCGGCGGGCGACAAGAAGAAGAAGGGGCGCGCGGGCGCGGGAGCCCGCGCCAAGGCCGGCGAGGCCAAGGGGCAGCCACCTACCGGCTCCAAGTCCGCGCGGGGGAAGAAGGCTCGTAGGGGAGGGAGGCCGCCCCCCAAGTGCCACTAGTGGCTCCCAGAGACAGCGAGGCTGTGGCGGGCGATGTGCGCCCCCCGCCCCGCGCTCCCTCCGCCCTCCCTGCAGCAGAGGCCCGTCTGCCGCTTAACCGTGTGCTCCGCGCTCCGCGGTGCGCCAGGCGCGCACTGCGGGCCTCATCCTTGCCTTCCAGTCCCTCCTTTGCAGGTGGCGCGAGCGATCCTGATGGAAGAAGGAGAGAGAAACGAGCACCCCTGGAGGCAGTCGCCCCAAGTGATGGGACCGTGTCTCAAAGGGCACCGAGCGGGCGTGGCTTTGGGCGGCCCCCACTTAGCGGGGGCAGGGGGTGAGTGTGTCCCTGGACGCGAGCAGCTGGGGAGGCCAGCGGTGCCAGTGAGTTCTTTCTGGCTCTTCGTGGGGCCCCGAAGGTTCCAGACCCACGCTTCTGGCCAGCGTCTGTAGGCCCCCACCAATCGGATGGGGCCGGGGGTCTGTGATGGAGGCTTGGCCACTAGCTCGCCAGTGCGTGTCAGGGTGAAGCTGAGCTCCCGGCGGGTGGGGGGGGGGCGGAAATGATTCCAGAAAGACAGCCTGAGGCAGAGGGGGCGGCTCCTCTGGGAGGGGGGCGGAGAGAGAGAAGAGGTGGGGGAGGCATGGGGACAGGTTATCAGGAGCTGGAGAGGAGGAGGAGGAGGAGGAGGAAGGAGACAGGGACGACGCACTAGGCCTGCCCACCTCTGGTGCAGCTGCTGCAGATGAATTAGCTCCTCAAGGCCAAGGCCACCTGCTGGAGTCCATAGGCTGAATCTGTCACTCAGATTGCACAGTGATTTCCAAAAATCCTAATTATTTGCCAACATTTTCAGTCAGAGCAACCCACATTTATGTCACTGGCCTCTCTGCAGTGCCCGGCAGCGTCCCTCACCCAGGCATGCGGCTCTCCCCTCCCTCCCTCCAGCCGCCGCCCCCTCCCTTGGGCTGATCAGTCCCTCAGTGCCGGCTCGCAGCCCCTAAAATGATAGGGTCTCCCAGTTCACCGTCTGAGTGAATTAAATGCCAGAGGGGACCCTGAGGGCGCACCTGAGGGGTGGGGGCTGGTCCCAGCAGCGTAGGAGCTGACCAGGGTCCCGAGTTTAGAGCGGAGGAAATGTGCCCCAGGGGGAGCTGCGGTCAGCCTTCCAGGCGCCCCTCCCCCGCCCACCTACGCCCCCTCGCGGTCAGGGTCAGCACCTGCGCCCCAAGTGCCGCTGCTCTTGTGTGGTGTCGTGTCCCTGTGCTGACCTCCGCTTCAGCCCTCTCTGCCCACCTCAGTGTTTCCCCTCAGTATCGCTGGACGCCCCTCCAAGTCCTCTGGTCCCGGGCTGTGTCCGTGTCCCAGTTCCCAGCCCTATGAGGTGCCCAGCCCATCACATCAGGGGGGTCCTCCCTACAGGCCTTGAGGAAGGCATGGGGGGGGCTGGGCATGTCCCCACAGCACCACCAGACTGTCCCAGGCCCACTCGGACACCCAGGTGCAGACGCAGACTCGGGAGCTGCTTGGAAGGGGGGGCACCGCTGGACCGCAGGGGCCTCCCTGGGGCAGAGACAGGGCTATTCGGGTCAGGTCAGGGTGGGCGCGGGGCTGGGGAGGAAGCCCCGTCTCCCTGCTGTCTGACCGGCTTCAGGGCCTGGGCCTGGGCTGAGCAGCTCCCTGAGGGGAGGTGTCCATGCCAGGGAGGCCCCCACGTGTGACTACCTTCTCCCTGCAGCATTTAGGCCCGTCTCCTTGTGCACCATCGCTGGGGTTCCTCAGTAAAGTGAATTCTGTGTCTGGCCTGGTCTCTCTGTGCTGTGGGCCATGGGGGAGGGGTGGGCCAGCCATGGGCCACAGGTGTCCCACCTGTCCCTGCTGAGGTTCAGGCAAGACACCTTGGGGCTGTGCTGACAATGACTGACACCCAGTGTCCCTTCTGCTTCAGTGACTGGGCCCCTACCTCGCCCCCTGGCCTAACCTACCCACTTAAGTTCTGCCACGCCCTAGCTTCTACCTGCCCTGCTCCCGGCCTCCCCCCTCCAAGGCCAGCCTCAGCCGTCCCTGGCCCTGTCCCTTGCCAGACCTCAGCCCTTCACCATCTTTAGGTCTCTGCCACCGAGCTCCCTTTGCTGGCCCCACTCAGCCACATGTTCTGGGGCCCCAGCCCTCACCCCTCATCCTGGCTCCTAGCGCCCCTCCCTGCCCAAGACCGGGGCTGGGTCTCAGCCCCTTTCTCTAGCCCTCAGGTCAGCCTCTGCCCAGCCGCACCTCACCCAGTCCAGCTCCCTCCCCCGACCTCACTCAGGGCCCCACTCTGAGCGCACTGGCGCTGCCCCGGCGCCGAGCTGGACCCTTCTCCCTGCTCTTTCTGTGGGCAGCTCCCAGCTCCCATGCTGGATCTCCAAGGCTCTGTCCTGGACCGCAGACCGGGAGGCCTCCCCGCATCCCTGGGCCCCTGCCCTGCTCCTGCACACACCTACAGGGCTGCCAGAAGGGTCCTAGCAGGACTCAACTGATGTCTGACGGAGTCACTCCCCTTCCCAGGCCCTTGAAAGTCTTCCCGTGTACCCGCCCGCGGGCCGAAGGAGCGCCCTACCCAGGTCGTCCGCAGGAGTCTGTCCGTTGCGTGCGGGTCTTTCTTCAAGTGTCACATCCCCAGGGAGGCTTCCCCGGCCACCCTATGACAAAGGTCACCCTTCCCGCCCACCCCCACCTTACTTTTCAGAGCCCTGATTGCCACCGGGTACCCTTGTTTATTTCCAAACAACGCACTGACTGTGTTTTTCGGGGCGGGAGGTTAATAAAAGAAACTGACTCGGGTTTTGCAGGCAAAGTGCCCACCCGGGACGGGCGGGTCTCCCGAAGATGAGAAACGCAGCGAGCTGCTCCCGGCCCAGGGGAAGCTGCTGCCCTGAGCCCGGGTCGCTGGGTCGCGGGGGTTCCACCCGCAGAGCCCGTGGGCCTGAGGAGGGACCCAGGGGCCCCGGCTCACGTCACCGCTGCTGCCGCCACCGCAGCCCCAGCGGCTTCCAGATGGCGTCCCCCTCCTCCCGCTGCCAACTGCCGCCCGGGCCCGGGCTCCGCAGCGCAGCTGGCGGAGGAATCGGGCAGTGGCTGAGGCCGAGGGTCACCCGGTGGTGGCGGTTTGGGGCGGGTGAGCGAGGGGTTTGGGGCGGCGGAGGCGGTCCGTCCCGTCCCTCGCCGCGTCCCGGGCCCCAGCCCGGCGCCCGCACACGGTGGCCGCTGTTTCCAGCTGTTGAATGACTGACGGACCGGATGGACCGCGCGGGCTTGGCGAACCGGACCCAGATGTACCCCCCGAGGCAGGTGTGGGGACGCCCCCACCCGGCGGGTGGGAGTCTGGGGCGCGCGGAGCAGCGCCTCGGGTCCCAGGGGCAGCAGCGTAAAGGCCCTGAGGTCCCACCCGCAGGGGCCGTGCGAGGAGCCCCCAGGCTCTTCAGCAGCGGGTTTGTCCCCGCGGGGCCCGGAGGTGCCCGGACGGAGGGGAGTGCGGTCGCCTCCTGTGGGAGAAGGAGGCGGTGTTCCGCGGAGGCCGAGGACCCGCGAGGGCTGCAGCGGGAAGCAGGGCAGACGCAGGCAGACCCCCGCGGAGCGTCGTGGGCGGGGGAGGGCGGACGGGTACTGAGCCCCGAGAGCAGCGCGGGCTCCGGCGTTGGACAGCGGCGCCCGCGGGGAGGAAAGGCGGGCGGGCGGGGCCTGCGGGTGCGGGGCGGGAGGGTTTGCAATCGGGGAAAGCCCTCACTGGGAAGGTGGCAGTAGGTGCGGGGCGAGGCAGCGGACACCCGAGGGAAGCGCCCCCAGGGGCGGGAACGGCCGGTGCGAGAGCCCAGAGCCACGACTGCGCTGCCCGGGGCTGAGTCACGAGTCGTCACCGACCCCTCCCGAGCCAGGCTTCCGAGCTAGGATTAGGGGAGACGGTGTCTGCAAAACGGGCCACCAGCCTCCATGGGGTGGCTGCGTAATTAGGTTCCCCGTCACTAGTGCTTGGATGGGACCCGGCTTGAAAGGAACGTGCGAGTCACTGGGGTCCGGATGGGCGTCGGGACGTGAGCAGAGGCGAAGCGTGCCCTCCGCCTGCCCCGCAGGGGCCTGGAAGCTGAACTTGTCCGGGGAGACGGGGGCGCCCCGAGATCGAGGCGATGTGACCCCATCCTAGAATGGCTCGGAGGAAGAAGGCAGGAGTCCTGTAGCAGAAAACGACATCCCTTCCTCTCCAGCGGGTTCCCCAAAGCCTAGGGCCGCAAGGCCTCGGCTGTCTCAGTGCAGGCTCCGCCCCATCACACTGGACGCTCGGCGCCGCTGCTTCTCCGCGGGCGGAGCTGAGTCCCTGACCCCAGTTGCCGCGCCCCATTTTCCCACCAGGGGGCGCTCCAAGACCGCTCTTAGGGTGGGCCCACAGCGCGGCGAGGGTGAGCCAGAAGGCGCTTTGGGCTTTGGTCGCCCACCCCACAGCTGGGGAGGCCACAGCAAAGTCAGCTTGCTCCCGCCCCTGAGTGACTGTGAGGGTCCAGCCTGGCAAACCCCCAGCCCCAGCCCCCAGGCCACTATAAAGGGCCAACACCCTCACTCTGATTTTGTTCAAGCCACGGGGACTGGCTCATGCCTGTCGTATTCCCCCCAGAAAAATCCCAGCACGAGAGTAAACCTTTTGGTGCATGTGGTGGAGTTATCAGTCTTGTCATCTCAGCTGATTCTGGGTGAGCAGTTGGGCTGCCCAACCACCGAACGACCTCGCTGTTACAGCCGGGTGCTCATCCCGGAACCCGGCCCTCTCTGTCCTAACCGGAGACTCACAAACTCACTGGGTGTCAGAGCAGAGACAGAGGCCGCTGACCTTGAAGGCAGCGGTTCTCAGAGTGCGTTCTCCAGCGCAGCGCCGGCGGGGACCCTCTTCCCTAGAGACTACTGACTGAGGACCAGGGAAAAAAGGGTGGCTCTCAACTTTGGCTACAAGTTCCAGTCCCCTGGGGAGCATTTAAAAAATTGGGATGCCCTGGCCGCATCCTCTGGGAGTCTGAAGCTGGTGGTGGGAGGTGGGGCCGGGGCAGCAATCACTTTAAAGGCTCTGGAGTTGACTCTGATGTGCAGCCAGGGTCTGTGAACAATGTTCACCCCAATCGTCCCATTTCACAGGGAAGAAGCTGAGACATTTTTGAACGTTACATTAATGCAATCTTACTAGATGGATTATTTTGCTGTATGCCTGTTTTTTAGGGAAAATAAATTAAGCCAAGGAAAGGCGCACGGGCCTCTCAGTTTTCTGGCCGCGTCTCCTCGCTGGGAAGCCTGTGTCCTGGCTGCAGAGCGTGGGGACAGCCGCTGGCTTTTCATCTGGTGGAAATTCAGGGCCAGTGGCTGGAGGCTGTACCCTGAGCCCCAGCTCAGAGAACACACATCTATTCCCCCTGAACACAATCTGGAGGTTTTGTCGGTTATTTCCAGAGAGAAAGAGAAAGAGCTCATCATGGTCCCAGGGGAAGAGAGTTGCTAGGTTTTCCGTGCCAAAGCCTGAGGCTATAGTTTAGATTCCTGCTCTGTGCAATGAAAATGGACAGAACAGACACTATGTCCTAAAAACCGTCATTTCAAACAAGCTGAGAAGTCACATCTGAATCCAGATGACAGAGGAATATGTGGGGCATCACACACCAAGTCTTCTCAGCTCTTCATTTGAAATAGCGGAAGATCAGAAGAAAAGCACATGTCCAGCCCTTAGCAGGTGGTTCAGTTGGTCAGTTGGTTGGAGCATCATCCTGTACATCAAAAGTCTGCAGGTTCCATCCCTGATTAGGGCACGTACTGAGGTTTCAGGTTCAGTCCCTGGCTGGGGTGCATATGAGAGGCGACCAACTGATGTTTCTCACATTGATGGTTCTCCTCCCCCCTTTCTTTCTCTCTAACAACAACAACAACAACAACAACAACAACAACAACAACAACCTATAAACATATTCTTGGGTGAGGATTTTTTAAAAAGTAAAAAAAAAAAAAACCCCACATACCCAGCCACAGGGGAATAGCTGATTGACCTAAAGCAGTAACTGCCACACGATTATGAACCACGATCCACGGCAAAAAGAAAAAAACATTTTACTGTGACCTAGGATGCACGCACATGACATAAAAAATAAATCTTCTGGCTGGTGTGGCTCAGTGGATTGAGTACTGGCCTGCGAGAACCAAAGGGTTGCTGGTTTGATCCCCAGTCAGAGCACAATCCTTGATTGTGGGCCAGGTCCCCAGTAGGGGGCACTCAAGAGGCAGCCACACACTGGTGTTTCTCTCCCTCTTTCTCCTTTTCCCCTCTCTAGAAATAAATCTAATCTTTAAAAAATCTTCATAACACACATTACTACATGAGATGAATTCAGATATTTCTTTTCTTTTTTATTTAAAACATTTTTTTCTTCTTACTGATTCTAGAGAGAGAGTGAGGCAGGGAGGAAGAGAAGGAGAGAAACATTGACGTGAGAGAGAAACATCAGTTGGTTGCCTCCCACACGTGCCCTGACTGGGAATTGAACCTGCGACACTTCGGTCTGAAGGACGACGCCCAACCAGGTGAGCCTCACCGGCCAGGGCTGAATTGAGGTATTTTGAGCCTTTTGCTCCTGTAGGGAAAATTGTGAAAGGCCTTGACATATGCCAAAAAGGTGACTGGCATCTTGGCTAGAAACTCAGGAGTTGTCCAGCGCCCCTTTCTTGATGTCTGATTCTCTGGGGTCTCTGGGTCTTTGAGCTCTT